ACTGTGGAGACGAAGGTCTCGGAGATGCTTTCTCAAGCTGCGGAGTCCGTGGAACAAGCCCTTCGTCAACGGTATCTTCATGCAAATGGTCGCTAGCTTAGATACCCAAGCAAGCAGGACGTCCACACACCGACACAATGCGCCAGAGCCCCATCCTGTATTGGCAGGTGCCATCAAGTGGAAGCAGGTCTTGGGCCTCTCGGCTTGTTCGCAGAGTGAGCACGTCGCCATAGAATGGCACAGAATCCCCACATAGATATTGAAGATTCTGCGACGAATTCACACGAAACAACACGAACCCTTCTCGACAGCTTGTCGTGTGCAACAACAACAGCAGTCAGTCGAGGGACGGCACACCTCCCGCCGAAATTTCTTGTCCGGATATTTGGTTTGATGTCTTTGGGCCACAGGAAACATACAAGTAGCCACTTCTAGCACAACTGTCCCTGGCGGTATCAAATTTCATCCCTGTGATTCGCCAGTCCAGCTCGTCTTTCATGGTTGAACTTGGGCTTCTGTAGGAGTGAAAGGAAAATTTTTCGGGTAGCTTTGCAGATAGTGGGATCCCACCAAAGCATACCAAAGCCCAAAATGTCGACTTCGCCCTTTCCTTCCTGTGCCAGTGTTCGGAAGGACTTTCCAGAACCTCCTGGATTGCCAATATTTGCTTGCAAATATCTGCTCAATGGTTCGTACCCTGTCGTACACGATGATACCAGTAGCACTGGCTGCCATGGGCACACACAAGGTCGAACCTGTCCCGAGGTGCAACAGCAATCGAGCCTCCCTCTGCAGAGCCTTTCGACATCCTTTCAACCTGAAAAGCTGAGGAGATACTGCTGTTGCCGGAGCGGCAGCACTCATGGCAGCTTGGCTCGGATAGAATGATAGAGTGGTGGGGATGCAGTTTGAAGCGCTGCAGTTGCGCTCCGCTGTTGCATGTTGCTGGGATTGATGTGAGGCAGTGTTCGGCAGCGACAGCCAGGATGAACTTTGAATGCGCGGCGCCCGTCGAATGGAAAGCAGAAGCTGGCTCGAGAGTTGATCTTCGACAAGTATGACAAGACCGCTCAACGGAACATGCGCATTCCACACCCGCCGGCCGGTTAACCTCGGTTCCCGGCCTTCGCACGAACAACGTGGTCTCTGTGCACACGGCTCGAAAAAAGCTTGCGCTCATGAAATTCTTCATCTTAGCTGCCTCAGCTTACCAGTCAGACGGATGCTCTGAGCCCACGTTTGCTTTGCGACGAGCTGAGGCGCCAGTGCTGCCTACAAGTGCGTCGCTGTGCTGCATTTCAATGTTTTGCACTGCTGGCTGAAAAAAAGGTTTGTGGTGTGCTTAGGTCGTCTTCCTTCTCGGCAAGGTGCACGGACGCAGAGAAGAGTTGCGCAGCTTTGCGCAGGAACGAGGCGGAAAGTCAAAGAGTGTTCGACAGCTGCCGGATGGACAAGTTCCATCATGCTCCATCCTGCTGGCAAGGCGTCAGTTTTACTGGCGAGGTCTATTTCAGGCTGGATTGCATCCACTTTCCAGCTGGTTGGGCAACCTCGTCACGGCCTCAAGTGTGAGGCCCGTCCACCGCATGCCTGCTTACGAGAGTGGGGAAGCAGTCCATCTGCCGATCACCGAAGATCTGTGTTGCGGCCTCGGGAAGGAAGTTAGCATGCGAGAGCGTAAAGTTAGAGCGACGAAAACAGATTCGTGTGCACTGGCGAGGTGAGAATCATGTTTGCCCTCCGCTTTACCCGGAACTAAGCGACGAGGATGTTGACTACGTGTGCGACGTGATGCCGCGGCCTTGGTTTTGCGAACTGCCATGACTCGTTGCGTGGTTTGTAATCCATCTTGATTAATAACTTTTGCAAGGAACGCTTTCCTGCACGGTGTGAACGCCGACAGCGAGCCACTGCTGAAGAAGCCAAAGATGCACTTGCCATGAGCGCAGCTTGTTCCCCCATTCAATGTATTCGCATGTATATATACCTCGATCATCCAGTGTGTTACACTTGTGAAACTCCAAGGCTCCAGCATGCCTGCAAAATTCCGTCATGGTTTTAATAATGGCTAATGCAGATAAATCTTAATGACTTAATGTCAAGTTCGGATGACCTGTTGGAACCTGTATGCCCACGTGGAGTTCTATAGCCTTGTGACACTGGTGTGTGGCGATGTTGCCGCTGCCGCAGAATCGGTTAGACCTCGATCGTAGCGCTTGGAACTTGAGCCGTTTGCTCTCCAAGCGCAGCTCACCTTTCCCAGCGCTGGAGGCCTGACGATGCGTTCCAAAATTGTGGGTTCTCCGGCAGCGTCGGGTGCATGTAGGTTTATTGGCCACCAGGCACACTGTGGATCTCAACAAGAGGAGCGTCTGCGAAAGTCTTCCTCTCTGTCACAAGGATCTGCAAGCGCTGAGCTGAGTGGAAGATGCAGGAGCTGTATATGCGGCGCTTTTGCGGCTTTAACTCGGGTGTATCTGAGTCATACTGAGTCTATCTTTTCAATCAGGTGCCGCCCGGCTCGTCGCCACTGCGGGAAGCGTGTTGCTGGGGCTGTCCCTCCGATCGGCGCCTCGAGTCGCAGCCACAAGCAGAACAGCTCGCCGATGTCTCGTGCTCCGACACGATGCAAAAGTGGAGCTACCTGCCCCGAGTTGCTCGTTTGCCTTATGCTTATGCACATCGTGTACCGTATTCCCGCGAAGTTTTCCAGAGACTTGCCGCCTGGCTATCTTTCAGGGCATGTGCAGCTGGATGACGCACGCGTCGCCATCCGAAGGTTAACTCAGGACAAGTTCCAGAGATTTCCAAAGTCTCATCTGCTCGATAGCTCTCGACTACATGTTGTGATGAGGCGTGCGTGCGCGCATGTGCTTGCTTGCATTCGTGGTTGTTGCAGCCGGCACGGACTGTGGTTCTTGCGTGCTAGTTCAGAAGTGAAGCCAGAATCTGATAGCACGAGACACTGTGGATTCGAATTGTTGACCGCATGGTGAGGAGGCTTAACCTAGATTTCGCACACCATCTTCTCAGCGAGGACGGCGAGCTGGAAGTATCGCTGCTACAGGGCCTATTTCAGCAGGCGGAACTGCAGGACTGCACGTGGGCCGCGTGAGAGTCTGCATGACGTTGTGCTTTTTTCTGACGGTGCTTCAGGAGCTGGTTCGAGTTTGCGAGGCGCGGAACGGCTTTCAAGCCAGCCTGCAGCGAACATCCTCTGGGGAGTTTCGGAAGGATCGGAGCCTCAGACCTGCACAGCCTTTGATTTCTTGTAGGGGTTGGGTCGACCACGTGGCCACAAGGCTACCCTGCGGCTGTGGATGTGATCTGAAGTGCTTCTCGGCTGAGGATGCGTACGTCAAGCTCCTGCCCCATGTTGTGGCCACTTTTTACACCTCCGGCTTCTCGGCCAGCAGCCAGCAGCCACAGTCGCACTGCCCGGCTGTATTGTGTAATGCATGTGATGGGCAGCGATGCGCAGCCAGGAGAGGGTTCTGCAGCTCCGAGAGGAGAACGCTGGCTTGGCAGCGGCCGTGGAGGAGGAGCTGGCGGCGGTGCTCAGCGCCACGAAGCGCTGCGCAGAGGCGCCAAGCCGCCCTAAGCCGCCCTGGTCTCAACGATCCCTCGCTGCTCTCGCTCGATCACGTTTGCAGGTGATCGGCGTTGACCCGGCACGAGTGGAGCCTCTCCAGCTGATACGTTACACGCCGGGACAGTGCCACTGGCAGCAGTCGATCCCTAACACCTTTCCCAACTGTCTACTCCATAAATCGATTCTCACATAATGCACCCTGTGTTCGGGAGTTCTTTGCAAGAATGCGGGCTCCAGCATGTAGGGCGAGAATGCAAGATACCAGGGGTTTCCCTGCATTCAGGTATTACAGACCCCACATGGACACCCATGAGGAGCCACGGCGCATGTCGTCGTATGCAGGCCATGCTTTATGATTATCTGTGCTCGTGTGACGCGGATCCGGCGCAGGCGAGCAACGGAGCCACACTCTTCTGGTCTTCCTGAACGATATACCTGAAGAAGATGGCGGTGGCCATCTCCACTTCCCCGAACTGGGACTGCACATCCTGCCGCGTGCTGGAGATGCTGTCTTGTGGCCCAACTTGACGGATGCGGGGGAGCCTAACCCGCACGGGCCCCGGACCGAGGACTGGACCAGGACTTTCCACTTTCGTGAAATTCGCGGTGTGAGCTGCCAAGGCAGGCTCTTCACGAAGGTGTCGCCCCGGTCAGCTGTGAAAAGATTGCGTTGGGCCCAGGCTGTACAGGGAGAGCTTGCAAAATTCACATCAGTAGCAGGCTTCCACGCAAATAAGGCCATGAACGTTTGGGTCGCAGAGCGGCCTTTCACCCTGGAATCCATTGCTACATGGTCAGCCAGCCGTGTTTGGCAAGTGCGTTCTTGTCGCCGCTCTCGCAGGCAACACTTTGTAATTTGTACACCAGACATGGCACAAGACCCGTACAGAATGGTGCGTTGTTGAGGATATTCCCTTGCAGAATGGATGGCCCGGCATCTGAGTAAGCTGGGGCCTTCCAGCCACAAGGTACTTGCATTTACTACTGTAATGCACCACAGCCTCAGCCGCGTTGTCTAGGCATTGCTCAGTGTCTCGAGCTGCCCAGTGCTTCGATACCATGCGACGTTAGCTTCGGCAAATCATGATAGTTTCAGGACCCCTCCTTGCCAAGAATCATGAATCATAGCCGCCGGAATACACCTTTCCCTCGGGGGAGCGCGGCCAAAGCAAAGCCCGCCAGCCCACCAGAAACACAGTCGTACCGGAGCAGAGCACCGATCAGCGTGCATGCTACGCGCGGTTCTCCGTGCTTGCAGCCAGGCAGCAGCAGCGGAACGAAGAGAAAGCTGCGGCTGCCGCAGCAGCAGCTTCAACCTGGTTGGACTAATGCCGCAGTAGCAAAAAGCGTCCTACCAAGCAGTACGAGCACCGTCGATTGTTGCAAATTCCGGTTACCTGTCTTGCAGGTGAACCTCGTCGACTTCGATGTCGAGGCTGTCGCCCCAGCACAGATCCCCTGCAGACTAAAGTGCTCACCCGGCTTCACGACGCAGGTCATGGCGTTTGTCTCAGACGGTGTGATGCGCTTACAGTATGACTTGCCTGCGATTTTTTGAGGGGCTCGGAAGTTGTGAGGGATGTTGGGTGGTCGTTAAGATTGCGTTCAGGTTCATCTCATACTCTCCGGAGTGAGTGTTGCCCTCCCTTCTGCTCAGACGTGCTCCCGTCCCACGTCATGGATAATTGCCATCATCCGTCCAGTGCCCGCCTATTCCTGCATCTTTATCTCGCGGGTATGAGGGATCCAAGACGGCTGCCTATGTGAAGCCCAAGCCCTTTTGTGTGAGAAGCTGCACAAATCCCGTCACGCAAGGTTGACGAATTGGCGGTCGCAGCTGGAACTGCCAGAGCTGATTTGGTCGGAAAGGGCCCAGAGCTGTCAGTCGCACAGGGGTTCCATTGGTGCAGATGCACACTGTATTCACTGTATGTGGTGCTGGGCGTGGCACCCAGGCTCGTGTTGGGACTCCGCAGCTCCAGGACGGGGTGCTGTCGGCTGCCGTTCACCGTTCAGAAGGCGAGACTGACCCAGATGCCTCGTTTCAGCTTGAACACTCAACGCACGCACGGCTGGATGTCTCGAAGGGAGATCTACTGTCTCGTGCTGACGACACGGTTGCCTTGTGCCTGGCGCAAATGGCATCATCAGTTCTGCGGCGAGGCTTCACCTGGATTACGGAGTTTGAGAAGAACTGACTCGAATTCGCTTTGCCATCTTTGCCGCCCGCTGCAGCCACGATTGCTCCAGCCACCTGTATCATTCTCGCACTACTTCTCTCAACATGCTGGCAACTTGCGCAATCGGAGGAAAGTTCTTGCGGGGCATAGATGCAGGTCGTAGCTTCGCGATGTGGGAGTCGTGGGAAAGACAGACTTCGTAACAACAGACGACTGCGTTGTGTCACAGCTGGGCTTGGAGAAATGACATAACCAGACTTGCCTACGTTCAGCTTAATGTACTTTGCCTTCGGCTGAACGGCCATGGAGGCATGCTGCGCAGCTCAGGTGGGTCATGTTCAGTTGCCTGACTGTACAAGCTTACAAGTGGCACTGAGTACTGAGTGCTGCGCTCTCACAGTAGCCTTTCATGGTTGGTTGATTTGGAAGGTAGAGAGAGTCGTAGGTCAGGTAACCTTGGAAAGACTGTCAACCAGCCAGAATATTCGCAATGAGTCATGCATGCGACCCGGTCCCCGGGCCAGACCGGAATTGTGGTGTTTGCCTTTGTGGCACACGGACATGCACGTTTCCCTCTCTTGACGGTGATGCCTCGAGATCTTGCGCATGTTTGTGCCGCTCCTAAATCTGAGCATCCGAAGCAGAATTAGTGGAGCCATGGCTGCATGCATTCCAGAACTCAGGTAACTCGTCGTTTGTCCTGCATGATGTACCGCGCAACTCTTCTATAGGCTGCAGCCATCACACATCGCACCTCATCCCACAGGTGCAGGAAACGGGTGAGCAAGTCTACCGAGAGCAGTGTTGGAAATAGGCGAGCTCCATGCACTGTAGGCCCTACTGTAGGCACACTGCATGTTTGCTCCTGCTCCGTGCCACCAAGGCTCATGTCCGAACTTGTGGCTGACCGGCAAGAGTGTCGTAATTCCGATGAAGGTGACACGGTGACAGCGGACCCTTGTGCGTCACGGATGACCTAGCAACTAATGTCGTTTCCCCTGAGGAGAGATGCTGTCCTGGCCCTTGCAGCCCGTCACGTGCGAAGCCCCTTGCCAGCAAAAGCTGCAAGGTGCTGAAGTTTAGTCCCTCAGCAGTTTCACCAATTCAGAACCTCCTCTCCTCTCTCTCACTGAAGTCTTGCATAGCCAGAAAGTAACCTGAAGAGCCAAGTGGACGAAGTAGCGAAAGGAGACCAGAAATTGGAGCAGGACTCGTTGCCTCCAGTGCACGGTCAGTCCGGGAGACGAAGACTAAGATCAGCGCAAGATTCAGGCAGCCGCACTTGTGTAGATGCCGAAAGCTTATCCAGGCATGAATGATGGACCGCCACAGGTGACAAGTTTCCTTTTTTACCCTCGGTGGGGACTTGGCTGCTTCCTCTACCGCGAAAGCTGGTTTCCTGGCTGGTCTTGCCAGGTCCTCCATGTCAGAATGGACCAGCATGGACGCCTAGGTCACAGATGCGTCAAAGCAGACGCCTGCGAAGAGCAACGTTCAAATCGTCCTTTCGAGAACAGAGGACCAGGTACTACCCCTTCTCAAGCCCGTGAAGGCCAGCCCGAAGAAACACGAGTATCATGTCCGTGCCAGTGGTGCGGGGCGGTGCTCATCCGTGATGCCGCAGGCGGAGATCTGGACTGGATATTACACGAGCACGTGGACAGCCTGTGAGATCCGTCTTCACCATGACCGCGCCATGATGATTATGTTGCAATAGTGTCTCATTGGGGGGTGGCATTGCTTGACACTTCGCATCGGCGCGAAAGAAGAAGTTCGTTGCAAATCATCGTGGCCATATCCGAGGTATTGAAATTCTCGATTGCGCAAACACCGCGGGTCCTCAGGCTCGCTATGTCCACAGAGTCTTGTCATTGTTGAGTCTCAGGGCTGTGAGCCAAGGTAGCCCCGGAGCTCATGAAGCTTTGGCTTTCGGAATTACCTAAGACCGCCCGGACACTGAGCTTGCAGCGACAGTTGTGCGTTATAGCAAATGCGTGACCAACAATGTACTCATTTCTGGTCAGGCAGTTCAGGTGGAGGGGAGAATGGTCGCCCTTGCAGCTCTCGCGCAGGCCTACACGGCCCAAAAGCCAACAGAGACTGAGACATTAGAGTGCCCATCGCCCCAAGTAAGACCTTTGGAGCCTTCGAGATGAGATGCACGTGAATGAGTGTAGCCAGGTGCGATGCAACAGTGCTGCGGAGGCTTCGCTCCTTGCCATGGCGACACGGTCTGCTGCAGAGAGGTCCAAGCCTGTGTTCTGCTGCTATGAACACATCTTGCGAGTTGCATGGTTGCATTGCTTTGGAAAGGTTGGTGAGCAGAGTTCAAGATCGCAAGTGGTCCTTCGTGTGCTTGAACGTGTATGCGACGCGGCTGAACCTCTTGGAACGTTGCACCCGCACCGGCAGTGATGTTTCTGCATTCGCGAAGTGAAAAAAAGGGCCCCGAAGCAAGAAAGGACCTCTTCAACTGGCAGATGAGTCTTTTGAACAATGTGACGTGGCTGCTGGGAGCCGGTGGCGCCTACCATGCGGGTGTGGAGGTTTATGGCCTGGAATATGCCTTCGGAGGCACATTGCCATGGTGCCGTGAGTACCTGCTGCTTGTGACCGCAAAGCATATAGCTTCCTCGTCCCGTCATACCAGGCACGGAGTGTGGCATTGGCGGCAGCGGGAGCATTGCCGTGGTTACAGAGACATGTCATGCATGCCGGTGAAAAATCAACACCCTTCTGTCACAAGGATCACTACTTGCACGCCGAAGTCTTGTCAGAAACATTCCTTCAGCGAAAGTCTCTGTCTGGGCGTGACAACTATGTCAGCAGAGGACGACAGCAGTACAAGCGTGTGATCTTCCGGTGCTCAGCGCCAGCTTTCAAACCGTACTTGAAAGGACGTTGGGCAGCTGATGGTTGAATTGGCACCAGAGTGGTTGACACAGGATTGGAGTGGTCCAGCTCAGTCATACAATGTATAATTACACCGGAAATTATGCTTTGAAACTCGTGGGGCATCTGCTTTGACCTACTGCAGGACTACGAGGTGCTGGGTCCGAACTGCATCACCTTCTGCCGGCACATGTGCCGCAGACCTTTCGACTTGCATTATCACATAGATGAGGGGAGGAGAGGCTCATTAGTCATTCCGAGAAGAGACTACAGTGTGTACTTACACTCTGTCCGGACGCTAAGTGGCATCGAAGTATAGGCTGTCGACTTGCTAGCCATAAACGACATGTCAACGCGGCACAGACGCCATCAAAACTGGAAACGGATTGGGTGGCTGTACGAGCTCACCAGCTCCTGGCAGCAGCTATTGCTGAGAGACTGACGGCCTGGGTTGATGCTGCCTAGCAGTCCAGTCTGGCACCTGCAGCGACTGGCTCCCTTGACGACACACGCAAGACTTTTGTCACTTCGGACCCGGCGAAAGAAATGCCTAGTAATGAGAATTGTGGACAGGGGTGCGGGAGGGCGAGGCGCAGGAATATGTGGGCGACATTTTGGGTGTACTCGCTGGGAACGACGAAACGTGGGCAAAACATGGGCTGTGCCAGCAGGCGCGCTGGGGTGCACAATCAAGCAAGCAAACTAATTGCTTCTTCTTTTCAGGGCTACGTAACTGTAGGGGCACAAAGACAAAGCGTGGAGGCTGAGTGTGGGCTGCATGCAGGGAGAGGGGAGGGCGGAGAGGTGTGAATTACGTTCTTTTACAGGGCCAGGGCAGGCAGAGCAGGGCACGGGGGCTCCGTGGCACAGAGGGCTGGGAGCTGCGAACAGCATGAGACAGCTTCCCGATGAAGAAAGCAGAACATGACGGAGGAGAGGGAGGGGGTGGCAGGGTGCTTGGGGGGCTGGGGCGAAGGATGGAGACCAGGCGTGGCGGCGCGAAACATTTCCGAAGGACCGGAGCCCACTCAAAAGCAAAAGGCAGAAACGGAGGCTAAAAGCACAACTTCATCTGTCACGGTCTATAATACTGTAACTGTCACAAGCAAGCAGCAGCCGCATGTAGGGTGGGGGCAACAAGGAACGAAGGCCGCGTAAGGGAAGGCGGGGAAATTAAAGGCACTCCAAACACCCGGGAGGTCGGCGGATTCGATTTACGGTTCACAGATCGTAGGCTTTCCCTTCCGTGGTGGGCTAACAGTGCAGAGCATGGACCGGGACGAGTGCTAGCATGGTAGCGAAACTCCCTCAACACTCCCGGTAGAAATGGAGAACTGCCGAGCTGTAATCTGACTGGTCTGACTTAGGACTTGGCGTTGCTGACGTGCCAGACTGGGTGGATGCCATGGCTCGAAGCATCAAAGTGCCCCGGAGGAAGGTTCACATATGAAGGGTTTTCCTTACGAGCTCCTTATAGTGGTTCTGACTCAGGAACGCAATGTCTTCTTCGACCCCTCGACGGGCTCAGCCAATTACAAGGGAGGATCCTGCCCTCAACAGCATGCGTGCAAGTTGCTGCTCGGCTTGTTTTTGGCTATTTACGTTTACACTTGTGGCCCCACCTGCCTCAAAATCAGACAGAACATGTTCTCAGAAAAATGCACATGGCTGGCCAGAGACAGTACTCAAAGCGAAGCCACCACATCATCGAGTGATCTGGATCTAGTTAGCCTGCAAGTTTGCTTCGGGCTGCTGAGTGCTTGCAGTTGGGATCTGCGGGCCTTCTCTGCCCAAGTTTGTGACAGCCCGTGTTGGAACAACGGCAATGCAGCCAAACATGGTGTCTTGAATTGGACTGAATCAGAATCACATAGAATTCCTTTGCAGGAGACTCAATAATGGCAAGGTGGATTTTTCGTTCGGGCGGCATGATAGCGGCGTGCAGATAGTTGAACATATGATAGCTGCGTGGCCAGACTGGAGCGCAGCCAAAGCCATAACTTGGATGTGACAGCCTCGTGGTTATACTGGAGTCCAGCCGAAGTAAGCAAGTTCGCAATGTCGCCTTCTGCAAGGAGACGAGTAGACTTCCAAAGTGGTCAGTTGGAGCGGGAGGTACGAGGTATTGTGCTCAAACAGGCAGTAGGTTCTGCTCTGAAATAACACTAAACACTATTGCTCCTCAATCACGGATTATAGATTCTCAGAGAGTGTCCTGTCGCGAGGCAGTCGCAAGGCTTTCTCGCTGGGTTCGTGGAAGTTGTGGTCTGCAGCTCCTGCGAGTGCGAAGCTTCGGCCGCGAATAAGACTATGTTTTGCAGGGAGCAGCACTATGTCAAAACTTCGCGCTCCTCGGCGCGTGTCTTTGCAAGACAGTGCCTCTTCCCTCTGACTCCGTTGCCCGAGCTGCGAGAGCATCATTTGTGTGATTTAAGGGCTGTCTCTGACTAAAACTCCGGCTCCCGGGCCTGGCGTTACTCTCCGGATCTCTCCGGACTCAGCAAGACACTGCAAGACTTTTCTTGTTTTGCAATGCACTCTCTGTTGGCTGTTAGCCTTTGGCGTTGATGCGCTGATGCGTTGCTGCTCCGACGCACGCGCGCAGCATAGACACCGCGCAGTGTTCAGAGGCACGACATTCCAGGCAGCAGCTGTTCGCGCTCTGTATCAAGGAAATCGGGCCAGGCCTTCAACACTGGCACTGCAGTGAATGCGAGGAGTGCTACTGCACAAACTGTCTTGTACCCCCTTCTTCGTAGGCACTTCGAATTCTGCAGTGCTTATCCGAAACTGGGTAAAGGTGCGGTCGCTGAGTGCAGGCCAAAGTTGTCGCCGCACGCACGTTCCGCGCATTGTCGCGTCGTCGTTTTAATTTAACTGCTTTCAAGTCTCATTCCTTGCGCAGTTGCGGGTAGGCGCCGCTTGCAAGCTTTGCTGGCTGCTTTATGCCAAACATTTTCCTGGACCATCTCATGTAATCACAACGGAGCTGCACTGGGCAGTCCTGTGGCTTGTGCCGGAAGCTTCCGTTCAAAGCGCAGGCATGCAGCAGGATCCCCTGTGGGCGGCTGCTTTTAAAATGCACGAATGTTTTGCAAATGGACGTCGAAGTCAGGCGCTCGCCTTGGAAAACATTGCGGAGGGAAGCTCCCACTCTGAACTCCCCTCTCTTGCGCTGCTCTATGAGACCGTGACAGGTGCAGACCTCACCCCTAACGGAATGATTGCGCCGAGATCTCAGAGAGGTGTCGGGGGGGGGGGGGTTCTCTTCGTCGCCCGCCGGCCGAGGCTGGACCCCATGTGTGGCGTTGGCCTCTCTCTGAGTGGCAGCTGCTTCCACTTGGTTCGGTGCCGAAGCGCCTCAACAGACCTCCTTGAGTCCTGGAGGCACGTATCTTTTTGCGTTGCAGTGGGCCCTCGCCCGCCACGGACCTGGCGACAACTCCGCGTTTTAATTCTCCTGTCTGTGAAATTTACGTGGAAAAATATAGGATATTCTCATGGCACAGGTGGGTTGCATCTCAGCCAAGGCGACGGAGTGTCGGCCGAGCTGTTGGGAGTCCTGGGCTCAGGACTTCTGAACCTGCAGCTGCTTGTATCGTTCTGCTGGGATCTTAAACGGGGCTGTGTGCTATGTGGCGGCCATCTGCAGCCGCATGCTTGTTGACAAGCTGCTTCTGCTGCTAGGTAGATGCCGAGCTGGAGAGCCTTGCACACGCTCGATCCAATGCTTGCCGGCAAGGCTCGGCATGTTGATAGCCTACCAGTCCAGAATCGGCAGCTTGATGAGATGCTCGCAGATGCCCAGATCCTTCCGGTTCAATCAGAGAACTCAGCATTCGAGACCTGGAGGCTGGCGAACACTGGCACCAGAATTCCTGGCTGGGTCCAAGCCTATAATTTGCAGCTTGTTTGCTTGTTTTGCTTGCATCTGCAGAGCTTCTCGTTGCCGCATGCCATGCTCAATCAGTAATGTCAAGATGAATGGGGACAGGCCATCGTGGCATCACTTTGTTCTTGAAGCACACAGCGAGCCGGCTACACGCACATGTCGAATCTTTCAGAGCGAGCAGCGGACGGAGAGTCGAAAGTCGGGGAGGGGAGCTATCCGAGCCTGTCGTTGCCATGGCTCGTGTGTGGGACTTCTCTGCAAGCTTCGAGCCGAAGACAGTCGCAACGGCCATGGCGCGTATCTGGAAACTTGATTGCAGTGGTCCCGCAGCCATGGCCTCATGTTGCAGTTGTTCCTCCGTTTCCTTCAAATGTCAATATCAGGAAGCTCGACGGCTGGAAGTGACTTGGCGGCAGTCGTCTGGGTCATGAAGCGTATAAGCTACGTAAAGCGAGCAGATGTAAACGATCAAAACCAGCCGCCAGCAGTTGCCGAGCTGCAGCGGGCCACAGCGGGCATTGAGGTTTACGACGGTTCATGATGCAAACAACCGGCCCGTTGATCATTGTCCAATCTCGCTGGAGCCGATGGAAGATCCGGTGCTTGTGTGCGATGGCCACATCTATGACCGGAACTCCATCACACAGTGGATTGCGGAGGGTAACAAGCCATTTGTCTTGCAGGTGTTTTGCACAGCTTGCGTAAAGCTGGGTCCGTGCAGGACTGTAGTTCTGGTGCCCAGCCATTGTCGTCAGCCCAGGCTATCGCCCTGTGTCGGTGAAGATCTGGCCCACACCAAGCTGCTGAGGATTCAGCCATTTCGCGTTGCCGTGGAACGTTTTCTCAGGCAGTTCTGAACATCGGGCTTGCTACAAGTAGGATATTTTGTAAAAGGCATCCCATCGGCAGGCAGCGTGGATCTGCGGGGACATCAGCGGAGCAGGCTGCAGTCTTCAATCAAGCGGAGGGAGACTCGAGCTGTTGACCCTAGCTGTTGCAGAGCCTTTCAAGTCTTGCCGGCTTGCCTCCGAAGCTGGAGTCCTTCTCCAAGGAACTGACCACATGCAGACGCATGCTGCGGTGGCAGCCATGGTCCAGAAAAAGCTACAGCAAAGGGTGGAGAGGCCCAGGAAGTCATTCCAGCTCACATTTCTTACGTTCAGCGGCCCATCACTGGCAGGGCCAACGGCAATGGCAAGCCCTTCAACAAGGAAAAGTCGAGCGATCGGGCACTGCCAGCTGGCCGCTTTGCACTCAAAGCTGCTTTGCGGCAGGAGAGTTTGTGCTCTGTTCATTTGCGAGAAATGAAGTGCAAGTGCCTGCGAATGCAGAATCAGGCCTTGGAGAGCTCGGTCCATGAGAACGAAGTGATCCGGCTGCAACTGCTTGCCCGAGCGGTGGCGCAACATGTGTTGGGAAAGCTAAGGAGCGGCTGGCGCAGATGCAAGAGAGGGTGAACCCTGGCTTGCCATGAAGCATTGAGAGCAAGGCAACACGCGGAAGCCGAGACAAGGGCTCACGACAGCCTTCCCAGACAGCCACCACACCACTGCGCACATTCTACATTAGTTGAAGTTTAAGCTGCTGGCATCTCTCGTTAAATGGCACAGGTGCTGTTGCTTAGCCAGGGCTTTCGAACTGGGCCAGACCTAGTTGCGATTGGACTTTCGGTTTGAGTTCGGCCGGAATGGAACTTTTCCCTGCCCAATGCTCAGTTTCCTTTGCTAAATCGACCTCTCTGACACATGTCACGCGCTGGTCGCTGAGGGATGAGGGACGCCGCGAGATGGAGAAGCTTCGGAGCAGTCTTCAGGAAGCGGCGCTCTTGCTTCTGCAGCGATCTCTGCTGCGACAACATCTACAACCTCGCAGAGAGAAGGCTGCGACAAAGTTGCAGAGGCACAAGAAGCACGGAAGTTCGGTAACGAAAGATCTGTCCCGAGTTTGCCCGCTTGCTACGTCGAAGGTTCTTCCGCCGGCAACTCAAGCTGCGAACTTGGCGAATCAGAGCGGAGAAGTTGGCTTCGCATTTTGCAAGAGCTCTGGCTGCGTCCAACGAAGAGCTCGTGGACCGCTTTCAGTCCAAGGGTGTGGCGCAGTTGCACTGTGTTATTGCACTTTGGCAGACTTTGCCTTTTGCAAGCTTTGCAAAGCCTGGCTCCAAGGACGTCGACTACAAGCTTGTGCTTCGATTTCTGAAGGAGGGAGAACTCAATCGACAACTCCATACCGGGATCAATCCACTTTACACAGCGGCGAAAGCAGGTGATCCGGCAGAGAAGTTCAATGACTTGGCTTCGCATCACATGATTCATCGTGTCAGTTCCTTCCAACCCTTTCGCGCTTTCCAACCCTTTCGCGCAGGTCATACGATCAGCGTGCGGCTCCTGCTGAAAGCTGGGGCAGACAAGGCGTGCTGAGTTCAACGTCACAGACGTGACATGTAGAGAGACGATTCGTGCTGTGCTCCTTTATGCAGTGTAGAGTTAGCCAGTGGGCCGGGAGCGCTGGAAAGTTCCCCGGAGCCTTCCAAGGCTGTCTGAGTCTGACTGACAGGAGGTGATGGCTGCTGCAGGATCGGAGGAGAGCAGAATGCACACTGTGAAAACAACCCCGTTATATTCGGCGGCCTCGTGATCCTCGGCACAAACATTCAGGACAAACTTTCTCAGCTGATATAGAATCCACATGCCTGGAAGCGGAGGACAAAGGTCTAGACTGGATAAGATATTGTATGAGCAAGAAGGAGGCAAGAGATTCATAAACTCACCCTGACACCGTCAGCCACATCTGCCAGCTCAGGTGGGCACATTGGAGCTGTTCGGCTCTTGTGCGAAGCACGTTGCAACATCAACGCCGGACCTGCGTTGACTCCATTGTTCCATGCGGCCGAGTCCGGCCACATGGATGTAGTGCGTGTTCTATGTGCTGCCAGAGCAGCCGTCAACTTGACGACGGATACTGGTCTGGTTCCGTTGCATGCTGCAGCTAAGAACGGGGACTTGGAAATGGTGCTCCACCTGTTCAGATCTCGAGCTGAACCTGACATAGCCACAAGAAAGCCAGCCACGATATGCGCCTCTCACGGAAAAGGTGAGTTGGAGGCACGAATTACGCCTTTATTCCTTGCTGCAGGAAACGGGTTTGCCGAAGTTGTCCGGGCTCTTTGCGCTCAAAGAGCTGACCCTGGTCAAGCACTGCCGGACAGCGGAAGAACACCATTGTACATTGCAGCAAGAAGCGGTCACGCAGACGTTGTGAAGGTCCTCGTTGATGAAGGCGTAAGTGTCAATATCAGGCTGAACAAAACTGGTTGGCTGACGCCCTTGTTAGCAGCTTCGACATACGGTCACATGGCATGCGTACAGATACTCTGTGACGCAAGAGCCGATGTGGACGTTTCAGATAGAGAGTTGGATTCCACCGCGGTTCACATAGCCTCGTCGCAGGGTCATGCTGATGTGGTCAAGCTGCTTTGCAAAGTGGGTGCCAACTTGAACAAATCGCCAGCAAGTGGTGCAACGGCAGTGTACATGGCCGCCCTCAATGGCCACACTGAAGTTGTCAGAACTCTCTGCACAGCTAAGGCAGCGCCGGACACAGAAACCAGCAGCAAATTCGGAAACAAGACACCGCTCTTCGTTGCTGCGAAGAGTGGGTACCTAGAGATTGCCAAGATCCTCTGCCTCGCTCGTTGTGATGTACACCGAGCGTCATCCACCGGTGCTACTCCCCTGCATGTGGCAGCCATGCATGGTCATGTGGAGATGATGGAGAGGCTCTTGAAGAGCCGATCAGATTTGACCCGTGGGACCAGCATCGGTGCCACACCGCTCCACCTGGCATCGCTGAGCAACAAGCCTGAGGCGGTGCGCTTCTTGTGCCAGGCGAGGGCGGACAAGCATGCCAGCGCGGCTAGGACTGGGAGCACGCCCTTGATGATGGCCGTGCTGTGTGGTCACTCCGATGTTGTGGACGTGCTCTGTGAGGAGGACCCGAAACGACAGGCGAAGATGTTGAAGCAGACTGCTCTCCTGCTGCATGTCGCTGCACGCAACGGCCACGAGGGGATTGTGTGGCGCTTGTGCAAGTGTGGAGCAAACGTCAACGAAATGGTGACACAGGACGCTCTTGATCAACTACACGAGGCGACACAACCACCTTGTGAAGATGAGCTTGATGCGGAGATGAGTAGAGAAAGGATGAGAGAAGATGAGTGGGCAGAGGACAACCGTGGAGAGGAAGTAAAGGTAAAGCCTGACTGGGAGGCAGCGCCGGTGAGGGAGCCGGAGGCGGATGAAGACGTGCCGGCTGAGGTCGAAGTCGAACGGGAACACCCCGAAGTCTCTTTGCATGTTGGTGCAACACCGATGTTTATGGCAGCCTTGCTTGGTCATTTCGAAGCCGTGAAGGTTCTCTATGAAGCCGGAGCCCAGGTTGACAAGACTGGGGCAAAAGACGGGGCAACACCCTTCATTGTGGCAGCTCAGCAGGGACATCTTGAAGTTGCAAAGTATTTGCTGGACCTTCATGCCAATGTCAACAGGCGCTTGACAGACATGGGTGCCACGGCAATCTATCTGGCTGCGGAGAGTGGGCAGTTAGAGATTGTACAATTCTTGTGCAAATACCGTGCAGATCTAAATCAACCGACCAGTGATGTCCCGCAGCCTCCATTGCTGGCTGCTGCGCTGCACAATCACTACGACATCGTTGCGACACTCTGTGCCGCCAGGGCAAACCTGGACCAAGTCCGGGAAGACGCCACACAGGACACGACACTGACAATGGCATCAGAGTATGGTTTCGTCCAGACCTGCCGCAGCCTTCTAGAAGCCAGGGCCAATGCAAACAAGGCCACAGGTTCTGGAGCAGCGCCACTTCTCTTGGCTTCGGAACACGGCCACGAAAGTCTTGTGAAGCTCTTGTGCGCAGCACGGGCTGACCCAAACCAATGCTTGACGACCTCTCGTGGAATAGCCCCTCTGCCGGTTGCTGTCAGGAGGGGGTTCCTGCCAATCGTTGAGCACCTCCTACAAAGTCAGGCAGACCCCAACATGAAGTGTTTCCCGGCACATCTTTCTGCTATCATGCTGGCAACGGAGTCTGCAAATGCTTGCTTGGGACACACGCTCGCAACGATGCCTGAGACGCATTTGCATTCCGATATTGGTACCCCTGTGTTGTTCGTGGCTTTGTTGCATCACCGGATTGAGTTGGTGAGCATGCTGTTGCGACACCGAGCTGATGCGAACCGATGTGCGGACGACTTTAGTACACCTCTACTGTGTGCAGTCAGTACCGGTTTGACCCAGTCAGTGCGAATCCTTTGCGAGGCCGCTGCAGACATCAACTTCTCGCGTGCACCACAGGTCACAGCACTCCAATCTGCAGCAGGCGAAGGCCAAGCCGAGATCGTGGAATACCTTTGTCAGAACCGTGCTGATGTGAACCTGGATGCTCACGATGGAACTTTTCCCTTGCTTGCGGCCGTAGCAACGGACGACATCGACAACTCTCCCACCGTTGTTGAGCTGCTTCTGGTCAAGGCCGAGATCGACAAGTCTACCAAAGATGGGAAAACACCACTAATTGCAGCAGCTGAGCATAACCAAGTCGAGACCGCACGCCTCTTGCTGGGATCTCGTTGCAACATCAACGCTGCGAAGCAGAATGGAACAACTGCGTTGCTCATGGCAGCCGAAGTCGCTCCCCAAAGCTCCAACTGGGACATGGCAGAGCTCTTGCTTGAGCACAGAGCGTCAATAGATCGGACGAACATTGACTTCGGAGCGACTGCCCTGCACATTGCCGCTTCTGGAGGACATGCGCCTTTGGTACAGCTACTTCTTCAACATAGGGCACAGGTGAATAAGCCTTCAACGAAGGGCCACACACCACTTCACTTTGCTTGCTGGTGGAACCATCCTGAAGTTGTCCGCATGTTATTGGATGCCAGAGCCGACAAGCATGCCGGTGTCGGTTACAAGCCCGGCAACAACGCCTTCCTGATGGCGGTGTTGCAAGACAACCCCGCTGTGATGAAAGTCCTTTGCGAGGATCAAGTTTCCGAACAGCGAGACATCGAGCTCTGCAGCGTTCTTGTACATGTGGCAGCCAGAAATGGTCAATCCAAAGTTGCTGGCTGCCTTTTCGAACTTCGTTGCGACTTGAATAGGCTTGTGCAGGACGTGGACAAAGCTGATCTCACCTTGGCAGCACAGAGTGCTCAGTGCCTGCACCCGTGCAACTCGGCAACAACTAATGTCGAGGAGCCTGAAGACAAGGACTTCGATGGTGCGGATGCGGACGATTTCGAGGAAGACATGCTACGCGGGTGGGCTGATGTCGATGCTGGCTATGCTGCTATGTATGCAGTGGAGGTCGACCTTCAGGTTGGCGCCACACCCTTGTACCTTGCAGCCTTCTATGGTCATGACGATTTGGTCTACAGTCTCCTTTGCAACCGGGCTGATCCCGAAATCTCTTGCAATCACAAAACCCCGCTGATGGCTGCAGCTGAGGAAGGGAATTCGGAGGTGGTTCGGGTGCTTTGCGAAAGCCAAGCAAGCCAAGCTCCTCTTGACCTCGACCGTAGTGACCCGCAGGGAAGGACGGCCCTTTTCATGGCAGCAGAGGAGGCACGCACGGACGTCATCTACGAGCTCTGCAGGGCAAGGGCAGATGTCAACAAGGGAATAGAAGGCCTATCACCGCTCCACATGGCCGTGAGCGGTAACTGCACAGAGATGGTTTGTATGCTTTGTGCTTCCGGCGCTGACATTGAGGGGGTCAGGGCAAGCCTGCAGCAGACGCTCGGATATTGACCACGTTCTTGCTTTTTGTGTTTCTTCGTTTTGTGACAGATAGTTGCAGCCGAACGTGTTTCTGGTGAGATACCCAGGATGATCAGAGAGCGTGCAAGTGAAGAAGGTGACAACGACAACTCGGAGGGTTGAGCATATGGGCATGCCGCATGCCACGCGAGTAAGAGATGCACATTTCCAAAGGAGCCTCCACTTAGAGGTCGAAGGGCAGGCCGAGCATCTGAATCTGCTTCTCACTGCCGTCCAGCAGGGGAAAAAACAAAGCGGCGGGAAGGGAGGGGGTGATCGTGCAGCATGTGAGCCTGGCTGAAGCATGCATAGCAAGTGCACCAGGTCCAGTCGGATGCTCCCTATCGGAAGCAACGCAGTCGACCTCATCCTCGTTGACCCGTCAGCTGCTGAGCCTCGGAGCGGTTGCGGATGCGGCGTCCCGAGCCTTTGGCGTACGGATTTCAGGCCCTGGGGGCAACGCCACAGCAGGCTAGCTCGTGCCAAGCTTGTGTTGTGCCACCCACCTTAAACGGCTCCCAGGCACACGTACGTGCGGCAGCACCTCTACGCTTGGGTCTTCTCCACAGTCCCGGATCGGATGCTTCATGTCTAGTCTGAGTCTCTAAGACTCTAAGAGTCTGTTGTGGCAGCTCTTGGCTTTAGGCGTGCGAGTGGGCCCGCGTCCTTCGCCCCGGAGGCCGCTGCAGCTTTGACGTTGGAGGCTCCACAGGAGCTTGCCGATGCCTCACCTGCTTTTGCGATTCTCGCTGATCGAACATTAATACAGGAGTTCGTGCAAGGTCGTTCGGTATTAACCCGTTTCAGATCTTCAGGGTTCGACTTCCTGGCCATCTTTTGAAGTGTGGTGTCGAATTCTTGGTGTGGCGCTGCTCTCTGGCTCAGCGTTAGAACAGCAGCACCTTGTGAGCAGGAATGAATGGAAAATCGCGCATGAATATTTGCACACATGTTGTATGCAAGGCAAGTGAAGCTGGGAGAGGAAGGCTGCAAGTAGCACTAGATTCGCGGTATCGTGCTCGATGTTGATGCTGCTTTTCCCCGAGCATGGGCTGATGTGCCTCAGAGATGGGTGGCAAATCCAGCAAAGCATCCACTTGCAGGGTGCGAAATCGTCTCGGCTGCTCCGTGCCGTGCCGTATTCAGCGTCTCAGGACTGTCGAAAGGTCTCGAGAATCTCGCACGTTGGCACGAGGTTCAGCTGCTGACGGCGCAGCCACCTGGCAATGGCGATGGCATGCAGCAGGTTGAAATTGCACACGGCGCAGAGCACCTGAGACTTCGAAGCAAGCGGAGAAAAACTGCAAGCCTCGCCCAGTCTAGGCTGGCTCAGAATGCCGCCTCCGGCTTTGTTTGCCCTGCATTTTTTCGGTCCAGCATGCGCAGCCTAACTAACCAAGGATCGAAGGTGCTGGTGAGGATGGTCACGTCATTGCCGTCAGATTCCAGTTCCAGGGCCGGGAGTATGACAAGGCTCGGGCCCATCACAGCACTTGCGTCCAGATCCTTCGACACGTTCACAGAGGCATTCAAAGTACCAAGCGATGCGGTGCTTCTACTCCGGGCATTCGAGAAGGGAGAGACGCTCTTCTTCCTTTCGGGGCAGCTGGCGGCTTGCGGAGATAGCGGAAGCGTACGTGTGAGGTTGTAGCTTTATCCGGCCAGGTGAAGGCTCATAGCTACTAGTTGCAGATAAAGAAAGCATGTTGCACTACTAGCACATCCAGCACCAGTCAAAAGCAGACAGCCAACCCTGACAGCCTGACTGCTCGATGCACTCCCAGCCCAGGATTGCCTTCCGGGTTCAGACTGCCACGGGTTCTTCGCCCGCTGAGGAGGCAGCCGTGGATTCCGTGCAGCTTTGGCAGGCGCTCTTGAACCGAACTGACTCACCAAGTTAATTGTTGAACTCTGGGCGGGATTGGTTTCATGGCATCAGGGGATGACTGCAGTTTGGGAGTCCTTCGATCAATTCGAAACTTGCGAAAGGAGGTGTTCAGACTTCCTCACGGCATTGCCCGAAATTGCCCGAACCATGCGGATCCGGCCCAGACATGTGCAACGGTTTCATAAACGTCAGTCTTTGCGGCATTGATCCACTGCTGAACCTGCCATAGCAGAGAGTAAGAATCCATATCTATGACAGTTGATCCATTGCCCCCGGCTGAAACCTGAGACTTGCTGAACGCCTCGAGGCAAAAAGGAAAGTGCAAAACCCACATCTCGGGTGGCACGAGTTGTTTCGTCATGTGTGCCGCGCCAACCCATGCGATAAGTCAAGAGGCGACACCTCTACGCATGCCTTGTTTTGTGTGCCCCTGAAGAACAGAAGTCAAGGCAAAGGAACTACAACTAGGACCCCCCCGGCTCTCTGCACGTGCGGTCTCTGATTCTCCTCGAGTTGGTTTCAAAGTCTCAGATGCTTGATACTTCATGCGTTTAGTACATGCTGGTTTCCTCTGAAAATAGCTTCGAAGACTTGTTGGCGGCAGTCAATCCAGGCAGTCATCGGAGACCAGGTTGCGGCAAATGCCACTCCTCCCCCAACCACCGGGGAGGTTGTGGAGGCAAGGTTGCATAAGGTTGCTGTATGTTGCATTCTTTCAGCACCCAATGGGAGGTGAGCCCCGGCAACTTGTCTGTGGCAGAAGTGTCAGAGGACCCACTGTGGCCCAGCCGTTACTGCAACACGAAGTCTCGACAGTGGCATCTACAGGTTTGTCTGGCCTGATGAGACGCTGAGCTGCCCAGGTGCTATGCCACCGGATCTGGCACATGGGTGGATGCGGACCCACAGTGCTGCGATAGAGAAGAGGCCAGGCACTTCCACATACTTCGTGCTGCTCCGGAGTCAACGCCCGAAAACCTTTGAGGAGCTGGACACGGTTTTTGAGGAAGAGCCGGCGAAAAGAGGTCATATCTCTGATTCGGAAGGACCACAAGAAGCAAATTCGGAGGCCGAGTGATCCTCGCCCAGCTACTGCACATGGCCGATGTCCCTGAGCCGAGGCCTGCGTCGAAGCAGATCCGAGTTGGACGCAGGAACAGCTGCTCCTCTTACTTGGAAGCCCAAGAAGATTTGCAGATGCTGAATGTTTGGAGTGTGAGGCAAGATCTCTATGCGGAACTTTTGGACTTGCAGTTCTCCACCGTGCGAGCTCGGAAAGCGCTGGATGCTGGCTGCACAGACCTTGAAGAGGCAGTGGAATGGTGTGATCCTCAACACCCCTTCACGGCACCTGGCACAGCTAGCTTGTCTTTCTTCCTGGACCCTGACTCCTTGCTGCTGAGGCTGGAAAAGCATCAGCTTGATGACGACATCGACATCTCTCCAGCCATGTTGAAAGCTCGCGAGGACAGGGGTGCTGAGTTAAGCTGATTTATTTTTGCGTGCGCCACGTGTTGCATAGGGCAGCTGCACGGCATGCAGAGAAGATTTCTGACGTGGGCTGTTAGGATGAAGAAGTGGCTTTGGCCGTGCTGCGGGTGCTCACGATTCCTGCTTTGCATCGCCTGTCGTGCCTTCAAGCTTTGCACCGTGCTGAGTTAGCAATTTATCGCAGTTGGCTTGAGCCGAATCGATGCCAAATGTGAAGCCTTTGGCCTTTGACTGCCTGGCAGGCACCGGATCTTGAGGAATATTTTGGCGGATCCCGAGTCTCGACGAGTCAGGCATTCAAGCTGTGAACATTTAGCCATTGCCATAGTGCTTGAATGGCAGGCAAATCCGGATTCAGAACCCCCGGTTCAAAGAAAGGATCGGGCGTTTCGGGCAGGCCGTCTCGCTTCTTCGGAAGATTGGTGACCTGGTGAAAGCACCGAACAGGGAGCACGCCGGCTTGCGTTGCTTGCGGCCTCAGGTTTCCAACAAGGCGAGTTTTGGACAAGCGCATTCGAGCGTGAGCCGTGTTTGGAATGGCGGCTGCCGGTTGGTTCTGCCAACCCGATGTCGCAACGCATGGAACGTTGCCGGGCCTGAATTGCCCGTTTGTGCAGCTGTCGACACGGAAGCTGTGCAGCCGGCCCAGGAGCATTCTCCCTGATTGATGAAGTTCTACGTGCTCCTGATTCTTGGATACCCAGCGTTTGTGCTGCCATGCCCGAGGTCAGGGAAATGATGTGGGATTAATCCAAGCGGCCAGAAGTGACCCAGTGGAGGTGAAGAGCAGTTTCGGCGAAGCAGTGGACGTACCAACATCACCAACGTCCTCCGAAATTGCTTCCACTGCGCGTGACTCGCACCGGTCTCCTTGATCAGCTGTTGCGTGCAGATGTCTTGTGCGCGCTTTTAGTTAGGTGAGCTGCTTGCCGAAGTGCATGCTCGTCGAGCTCGCGACCCGCGAGGCTTTCAGGAAGCCATGCGAGCTGCAGGCCTGGCCATCAGTCGAATCGTTGAGTCGTTGAAGGCAGCATGTTTTTGCGCACACTTCGCCCTTGCAGGACGGCAGCCCAATCCATCGGTGTATAGCTTGCAGTCTCGTGCAAGTGACGCCAACTGGCGACCGCTCTCGGAACGCTTCCCTGGAAAGCGAGAGCATCTCAGCAAAGACTGCTGTCTCGAGGCTCCTTAGGCTGCAATCGAGGATGTTCTAAAATGCTGCTGAGGTTTAATCTACAGGATCTTGAAAACATGCGCGTGGAAGAGGCCATTGGCAACATGCCATTGCCTCTCCGATGCGATTCGTGTCAGCACTTTTGGCGTTCGCCTGGCATGCACTCCGACAGTTGCTGCTGAGGTATGCCAAAGAATACGAGGCCCGTCTGGGGCAAGCATCGTCCTATGGAATCCTGGCTGTTTTTGTGGAAGACTTGAACGGAGTGGATGGAGAACACTTTCAAGCTTGATTTGTGCATCGGCCCTGAAACAAGGACAGCTCGTGTCACGCAGCTACGATCCGAACTACTTAAGTCGTCGAGCTTTGGACGAGACCAACATTTTCCGGGGTTCCGAGAGGATGCCGCCTTTGTGCCCCATCCGCAAGAGTTGCAGCCAGCTTCAGACCAGTCATGGAGTACATGCTATCGTGATTTTAGGTGGGTTGTGGCAGGGTTTGGATGGCAATGCCTGACTTACCCTTAGCTTCAGGAAGTGGTGCCAGGGCATTGCTGACATTGCCGCAGAGCACGCTCGGCAAATGGCTCGAGGTGGGCCTCTGCATTGCCATCGCGTTTTCAGCCCTGTCTGGCCAGTTCGAGCGAAATAGCGTAGCCTACAGACGATCCCGTTTGCATTCATGCCGCATCTCGGTGGTACTCGTCGGAGTTGGTTTGGGCCGGCTGGCATGCAATCGGCTGATGGACCCCGCTCAGGGGTGTAGGATGACGGCGTCGCGGCCACAAGTGCGGAGAGACTGCATGTGCTGCATGGGCCCGGAGGTGAGATGCCCTTCAGCCATGATGGCTTCTCGGATCGAGTGAGTCGCTATCCGATTCCTCACCTCAGTGCGGCAGAGATCCTTGGACTGCATCCAGGCATTGTCGCCTCTGCAGGGCATTGTAGATGCACTGGTGATCACTGGTGCTACTGTAGCCAGTTTCACTAGTTTGAAGGGAGTCCAGCAATGTGGCCGCTGTATAGTTAAAGCTGTGTTGTCAGGAACCTCGCATACAACAGTGGCGTGGCAGATACAGCCGGCGTTGCGGTCCAGGTTGGGGTAGCGAGAGACTGGCGGCGGAGAGCGAAAAGAGCAGTGACTTTGAGTAGCTCGAGTGTGACCTTCGTGTTCCAGCGTCCAAGCAGCAGGGCTGGATCAAGTCGCCGGGCCATCGCAAAAATTTGTTGGGTGCCTTCGACCTCTGCGGAATCGGTGCCTGGGCCATGTTTTGCATGCCTGTGTTATCTGGTATTAGTTGGAAATCAGGCGTGATCCGGTTTTCGTCGAGGTGTTGCGCAGTCCTCCTCTGGACAGTTCTTCTTCACGCAGCTGTTTGCGCGGAGTGCCGGCGGGGCGCTTTGCTGATGGCGGAGATCTCCGGAGGAGACCGGGTTGGCCCAGCTGTGAGCCACCTTGTACAGGGCACAGCTCGGCGGCCAGCGCCGCCACATGGACATGCCAAGGAGAGACGTAGAAGCATCGGCAAGAAAAACGTCAGGCTGCATGAAATACTTACGGTAGTCCAGGGGCATTCATGCCTGACGGCGAATTGCCAAGGAGACGGTTGAACATAGCTATATACATTCACCATTGGCGTGCGTCTGCACAGTTCTAAACTGAACCCTTCGGCGTGGTGTCCTGCGCTCCATGCAGGTGTTGCGCTGGCACGGCCCCCGGCACATTGTGCTTCGACTCCATGCCACCTCAGGCACAGGCACCCGCAGGCAGTAATGCCAATGGGCCCTGCAGGTTGTCACGATCTGCACCAAGCACTTCGAAAGCAGAAGCCCCATCAGTGACGTTTGTTGCTGCGCATTGTGTCGAAATGGATGACGCCAACCGCTGAAGACACATCGATAATAGAAACTAAGTGCCGGGGCCAAGTCGCATGTCTCCCAATGTTTCGTGCACGAGTATGCTCTCAGATCAAGTCCTGCAGTTCATGCAGAAAGAGGGACGGCTGATTCTGGAGGTTCGGAGGTTCCTTGTTGTAGGGCGCGCCCTGCCTCTTCGAGTTGCCGAGTGTTGAGGATGACACCCCTTTTGACAACAAGGGCTGGACCCAGTCGCGGAGCTGCACAGCTGTCGCGACTGTCGTGATCACCAAGGCTTACATGAGAAAATTGCTTGACTGCTGCAGTTCGTCAGGTGCAAGGTCTACATCCTCCGAAAGCCACTCGCCTGGAACCCAGAGCTAACAGGGTCCAGTTGCAAAGGCCTAGTGGGAGTTTTGTAGCACCTCCTCGTCACTGCTTTGGAACTGGCAGCTCAAAATGGGTCAAACCTGAAGACTCACCGAAGGAATCAAGCAGGGACAGGACCATTGTCACAAGTCAAGCTGTCGAAGCTGCTGCCACATGCCTAAACGAAAATGGAGAAGATGGTAAGTATGCAGGCCACGCAGCTGGATCAGAAAGGGTGCGCTCTGGAAGCGACAAGTACCAGTTCTGGCTATGTGAGAGAAAATCGACGATGTTGGGAGATGGTGCGGCGTGAGCAAGATATCGAATATCCCACAGAAGGTGGGCTGTGTCCAAAAAGAGGAATGCTTGTGAACTTGTGTGATTGCGTTGGCTTCAGCAGTGCACGAATTCAGAATCATTTCCGAGCCAATGTTCTTGATTCTTGAACATGCAAGCACACACCGCTCTAGTCTGGCTTTTGTCACACGACACTGGCCACAGCGCTCACCAATATTCTGCGAGTCACAGTAGCAGCACTAGCTAGCATCTACTGTCGGCGTGGTCGTGATATTGGCAGCCTCTTTCAATGGACGATGTTTGGCTGCGGTGAGCGGAGCGGACAGCTGCAGAGACACGCAGGCTGTGTTGCTGACTGCACGCTAGTCTGCCTTCGAATGTATATGTATGTGTATTTATAGAAAGAGAAACTGCTTGTATGTATATACATCATTTAATATATCGAAATACAGTTAACTATACATATACTTATTGTAGTTATTAAGTATATAGCGCGCTCTCTCTCTCTCTCTCTCTGTGACTGTGTCTGTTCACGCACACACAGACAGAGAGAGAACAGGAGAACATGAACCATGCAGTCATGTGTAGGTCTTGCAGTCCTGCCGGGGGGAATGACAGATGTCAACACAGCAGAGGGGGGAAGCGGAGATGAGGCCTGAGGCTTTCACAAGCGCCTGAAGCACCGGTGCGCATTCGAGCGCGAAAGGGTGCGCTTTGAGCGTCCTTTGGCTAGGTGGAAGAGAGCGAGAGAGAAAGAGAGAGAGGTCCTTTTTCTGGTGTCATGCCTAGCGGCCTAGCTGGCTTCAAGAAAATTACTTATTACAGGTTTCACTGCCGCATTCTGCATGAACAGGGGACGCCCCGGGGAAATTACTAAACTGTGCTGCAAGCCAATTTCCCTCGTCAACCGTGGATGACCCGAGTGGAGCCAGCCCGGGGATAGGCGCTCATGGTTTAGGAGGGGTGTTTGGCGGGAGTGGAGGCACAGGCAGACTCGGAGGAGCCCTTGCGCCATCCTGATGTACAAAGAACCGAGAAATCAAGATGGGAATCCTGCCACCACAGAGCTTTTTCTCTTGGAGGGAGGGAGGGAGGGGGGAGCGGCAGTTGCATTCTCATGCTTAGTTGCCGGGCAGGCCTATGGGCAGCTTCACCTTGCTGACAGTTCTTGGCAGTGGCAGTTGCAGGCGTGCGGCTGGGCCAGGCAGTTTCGCTTGAGCTTGTGAAGTTCTTGTTCGGACAGGCTGTCCTGCCATCACCGCCTGCCTTTGGCTGCTTATCAGGTGCATACAGGGAATACAGCAAGGATCTAGGCCGGTAGGTTGTGAATACATAACAGATGAGGCCGGCTCCATCTTGGTCGTCTGGGACTTCACTCGGTTCGGCGACGACTCGCGGCAGTTCATCCTTCTGCCATGCCCCTGGCACAAGTAGACGGCTGCTTCCAAGCTTGAGCGTCACGCATTGCCGCTGCCATCTTTGCTGTGTCGTTCCTGCCAGGAGCAGGAAAACCGAAACTCTCCATGTAATGCCCGCTCACAGCGGCCTGTTAGCCATGGGTGTGCATTGGTGGGCAGCCGGCCCCCTCCTGTGGCTGACTGCAAGAAACTTCAGATGCGCTGGTGCTTTCGACGAATGCTCCTTGGTCTGTTGCGCTGCAAAGAGGGTTTGCGACTCCGGCGAGGGCAGCAGCTTGAACATCAAGCCACCCGCCTTCTAGAGCTCCCGAGTGCCCTTTCTGCTGCCATGATTCGCAACTCTTGTGGTTGCCAGGTTACGTTCCCTCGGTTCCCTCGTCACTGTCGCTTGTGCAAAAATCACTGCAACTCCAACGAAGACGGAGCCTCGGCTAACTGTTGCCTGCCCCTTGCGGCTCATGACTCGAAAGAATCGCTTTCTGCGGCTGATCTGCTGGGGGCATCGCGCAGACGCATCTACCCAGCTGTCCTCGTGCCAGGTCCATGGACGAAGCTCCGCTCGCGGCCGAGGAAAGCAGGCTCAGCATTGAGTGGCGAAAATCGATGATGTTCAGGCAATCAACACCTGCAGTCAAACATTCTGAGAAACTGGCCGCAGCCAACTCTTGCTATTTGTGATGGTTCTGCCGAGAACTCGCCCATTTTGTTGGGACACGAAGTGCAAGCTTGAAAGAGAGCCTTCTTTGCGGACATTCCGGACTCAGTTGCAATGACTCGGAGTTCTGTCAGAAGAGAAATGCACATAGCCCGACTCTCCAACTACACATCCAGGCTTCAGAACCCGATACAGCTGCAAAGAAACTGGCACTAATCACGTGCTTGGTCTGCTGGCTGCTAGGCGCGTGGGCGTCTGCACAGACACTGTACCTGTGCTGGGCTCTGCCCGGGGTCTACCGATTCTCGGATACATCGGGTGCTGCCTCGCACTTAACGCACGTTTAGCTTCCAAAGAAGTCAAGACAAGCAAGTCGAAAGTCCTCGCACGGCATGCGCAGATGTCGAATAAGGTTTGCAGAGGGACCTGGACAGTGCAAACGTTCGCCCAGCTGCTGCGAGGTGTGACTTTGCTTTTGTGTAGAATCAGTGCATATAGAAGTGTGACACGACAAAACGAATGAACCATCTGACTGACGTTTAATGCCAGCCACCCGGCCGAAGTCATAGGAGAACATTCTCGAATCGTCCAGCCAGCATCGGTTACGAATGAGCCGCGCCCAATCCTGCGAATGAACAGCGCGAGAAGGGTGCTACAAAGTACATCGTGTAGGTCAACTGCAATCCAACAACTGTTCGGATGCAGCATGATCGTAGGGAGAAGCAGTCCCACACAGCGGTGTTTCAACAAAGGTATGCAGCCTAGAATAAGTACCGTCGCAGTATGGAGCCGCTGAAGAGCCAGTTGCGGGTCCTACGGTTCAAGATGCCTGGAAGGGTAATTCTCATGCATGGACGAAGAGACGAGTGGTCAAAACGCAGCAGTACCTGTCTTAAATTTCCGTGTCTGTGCTGAGAGGGGGAGTCAAAGCATTCACTCCAGCATTGGCTTGAGGTGTTTTCTAAGAGGTTCCCCCGCTTGCTCTTCCCCTGAATGTGGCCCTGTCGAAACATAGGTGGGCCGACCAGCAGGGAAGGTGCCGATACTACCCCAATGCGGAACCCCGTAGCGATTGAGATGACGACGAGATCTTCAGGAAGCACAAGGCCAAGAGGACAAACGCAGGCGACGCACCATGCACGGCAGACGTCGCAGCAACCAGCAGAGCCGAAGGTCCGGCCGAGCAACCACCTCCCACACCCAGCTGCTTCTGAAGTCTACAGCCTACAAGCTTGCTGGATAGGTGGAGTGGAAGAGCGACAGCGTCTAGAGGGGCGAAACACCGCAACTGGAAGAGCACAAAAGCAGAGGAGCCGGATACGAGTTTACGAAGCACATTCAACGTAACTTTCGCCGCGATTTGCCTAAGGAGAGGTGAACCAGAATCGGAAGAAAGAGAGAAGAGTTTGTCACGGCTAAAACCATGCAGGCACTCCAGCTTGTGGAGGCATCGTCGCAACTAACTTAAGCGCTGGATCTTCGTAATTACGACCTGGAAGTCTGAAATCTTTCTGTGGTCGTGGAAAGCAGTTGGTCCGTGGAAGGTCGCGGAAATAGTAAATATTCAAGCCGCTGCATGTGAAGCTCAGTTGACATAAGGGGAAACAGACACCGACTCGAACCGGCATTGTGCGGGCCGAAGGCATTTCGCCAGGTTGGCACATCAAATAGCAGGTTCTTTTGTTCCTTCGGAACGGGTTGCTTGCAAAACGATCCGCGGAAGAGACAACATGCAGTGATTCAGAAACACACTAGTGCATCGAGGCACGCAAGGGTTTCTCGGAACAGGATTTTGCAGTATGAGTTTTAAAATATTTGATCGGTCGAAGGAGAATTCAGCATGCAGAGCAAGAGCTCTCGGGATGCGAGGGCATGCTGCGAATACTGGGGCTACACTGCCTTTTCAGATATCAGTCGTTTGTAGAGAGTGAGTGGGAGACGGCATGTGACAAGATACTTGGCTGCTGGTGGGCGTCACGTCATGACGGCGCCAAGTGCCTTGGGCTTGTTCATGGGCATCGTCACTCTACTGACAATCAACGTGATTTCCCAAAGCAGCCGTCATGCTTCGCCGGACCGATTGAACCTACTGAGTCTATGGCAATGATCAAGCTCTGGGACAAGCCATCCGAGATTCGGGCGTTCCACGAGAGCAGATTTGGGCACTTTCCTCAGACTGTTTGCAACTGCTTCCGGGCCTTGCGCAAATGCCTAGAGTCCTCGAGGTCACCACAGCTTTGGAGCCCATTGGCGTTCCCACGCAGAACATACGGTCATGGGTTGCTGACCAAGTGACTGAAAGCCTTCAGCGACTGAACGTCACATATGCCGACGTCGCTTGACTCACACCAATCCGACCGTTCTGTGCAAAGCCAACTATCGCCCTGCCGTAGCAGCAGTCAATACCAAGACTTGAACTTTGGTTCAATGTGCTTTGATGGTGCGAGTGCTGTTACGAACAACTGTTTGCCTTGCTGAGGACATTTATATCCATTGGGGTGTCACGAATGTCCGCCGACAGGATCCCAGTGGAAGGAGTAATGTCACGCAGGAGATGAATCTAGAACTATACCGTGGACTCATTGATATGCAGAGGGCTGGAAAGACCCGCCACATTGCAGTCTTTCTGCGGCATTTGTGCATGTTCTGCCAACACGACATCGATCGGGAGATTGTTGTATCACGAAAGCTCCACTTTGTCTGTCACGGAGGTTGGTCTTCACACCCAGAAAGAGATCGAGTATTTGATCAACTCCACAGGCAGAAGCTAAAGCCTCCATGTCGAGACATGTGAAGCAACCGTCTTTGCCAGAGGTTGCACGGAATTTGACAGTTTTTATTGCCAGCTTCAGTGGCGCATCTGCTTTCGAACCGAGTTGTGCGTTCACAACTCCCGAGAAGGTGTCAAGCCAGACATCATGTGGGGATGGATAACACCGTTTATGCCCAAGAAGCAGATGGACCTGGCGATGTGGGCCAAACGCCAGGGAATGGCAGTGGCCGCTTCTTGAACAGGTTGGCGGTTGGAGGATTTTGGAGGCAGGTTAGTGAGAATCTGCTTCTCTCACAGCGTCCAAGGCTTGGGGGCCCTTCAATTGGATGAGGCTCGACAAGCCGGCCCAGCTTGAAGAGCACAGGCCTGGCGGCCTGGCCTCCGCAGAAGTGTTCGGTTGGGTACTCGCGGCCTTGCATTTCTTAGGTCAATAACCGACGAGCTCGCAAGGAAGTACAACGCCAGTGTTCACCAGATGCTTGACTACTTGACTGTTGAAGGTCGTCAGAAGAAGATACTGCACATTCAGCCCTGGTTACAATGTTATGCACGGAACTGCAACGCCTACAAATGGCCTATCGTGTGTGGTGCAATTGTGGGGGGCACTACGCGACTCTGCTTTGAACTACGCCACTACCTTATTGTACCACGAACAAGCCGTTATGAGAAATTGATGCTTATACTTCCTGAAGGCATGAAAGAGAAGCTCATGTCGAAATGTCATCCGGCTCCGCTGTATCGCCCTAGAGTTGAGGGTTAGCGCACTATTGGCAGCAACTTCGTCGCATCCGAGATGGAAGGCTCGTCCAAGCAGGAAGCTGCCGCACGGTCGTTGACATTCTCGGCTTGACATGTTGCATAGGCAGAAGCCTAATTCCCGGTCTTAGAGCAGCACAGAGCACTTCCGGGAAGCAGGAGTCTACGGCCTTGCAGAAGAGTCCAACGGCATGTAGAGCCGAGAGTTCGAGGACATGAGCGTCGATCGGGGCTGTACTTCACGTGCACCTCCAAACGAGCTCAACGGACTTATGAGCATCTACTGTTATTACGGCTGCTACGACTGTCGCCAGTGCTACTCACTGCTACTCATGCAGGAGCCAAGACTACTACGCATGGCTACTGCTACTACTACTTCTATTTCTGCTTGAACTACTACTGCTACTACCACTACTACCACTACTACTACTACTACTACTACTACTACTACTACTACTACTACTACTACTACTACTAGTATCATGACTACTATTACTACTACTACTACCACCACCACCACCACCACCACCACCACCACCACCACCACCACCACCACCACCACCACCACTACTACTACTACTACTACTACTACTACTACTACTACTCATACTACTCAGCGGATGGCGGGACTGGTGATCAGACGTCGCGCTGTGGCGGGACTGTGTGGTGATCATCTGTTGCTCCTTCTCTGCTGTGAGATCTGTACCGGGGCTTGTATCAGCGGATGGTGGGACGTCGTGGAGAGTTGATGCATGCTGGTATGCAGCCAGCCGGACATTTGCTGGGCTGCGGACCCACTATGGCGAAGCA